ACCACAGGTTTTTTTTCCCCTCATGTCGCATTCTGGCAGGGCTGTCTGCTATCAATAGAACTCTGTTGTACTTTCTCAGACAAATTCATGCGCTTGAAAGGTTTATTTGGAAAAGTTTTTGGAAAATCCATTCCATGTTTTATGGTCTATCATGGCTTTAGTTACAGCTTCTCTGAGCTCTGCACAATAAAACTAATAACACAGTAATAATTTATGCTTTTTATATCATTATTGTTGATGATTAAGAGTTAACTGCATAACTTCTTGTAATCCCCACAAAAAAATATTTTTCCGAATTTTCCTAATATCTCTTAGACCCTAATGCCATTATATTACTCAAACAAATATTAAACTTTGACATGTATAATACTTCAAATCATTCATGTTGTTCAGAAGAGGTGTGCTATTATTTTTCTAATTAATCAGACTTATGCTTTTGGCTTCATGGATGATAAAAATTTAGGCTATATGAGCCATATGGAGAGACCAGAACTTCAAATAGACTTTGAACTGGGTCCTTTCAACATGGGCCACGTAAAAACTGCTTACAAACATGTTAACAAACACTCCCAACACCCTAGCAACCCCATAGCAACATGGTAACAACCACTCAGGAGTGCAGTTCCCAAGAGCATCCTTAAAGTTATAACCAGTCTTAAAGAAATAGCCTACTTCACTTAAAAATTGTAATTCTGTCATAATATATTCAAACCTGTATGAATTTCTTTCTTCTGCTGAATACAAAGGAAGATATTTTGAAGAATGTTGGTAACCTGACAGTTGACGTACCCCATTGACTTCCATAGTATTTTTCTTCCTTTGTGTAAAAAAATTATGTTGTTAATTGTAACCAGTAGCAGATTATAACAGTACAGGGAAAACACTAAAACTGAAAAGACATTTGTAGGGAATGCTTTGTAAAAAGGCCCATTTGAGAAACCTAAAAAAAAATTGTGTGCAATGGTAAAAATGTCATTTTTAAAACAGAGGATATTAAGCTGAAATGTGCTGGAAGCGTTATGTACTACTTTGTACAATGTTGTTGGCTAAAAACTTTATATGAATTCCATAACTCGTGACTCTGAGCTTCTTAATAACACATAAAACTGCAGTGTTATTCTTGGGCAAATGTAATAATCCCCTTTGGTCCGTTGCATTGTACTGCTTGCCCAGTTAAAGTCACTTTCACCAAAGAAAACTTGAAAAATATCCTGTCATAAAACCGTTGAAGGAAACTGTGCTGTCATTGCAGCCCTGATGAGTGAAGAAAGCGAGAGCTCAGTATATAATACGTGGCCATGCGAGTTTAGATTAATTGGCAGTTTCTCTGTTTGAGTATGTTTATGCAAGTTTTTCGCAGATAATGGCTCCAAAGCAGTTTCAGTTCTGTCATTGCATCTAAAAATCTGAAATATCCTTCCTGTGGGTTGCAAGCGTGAAGGGGTGTAACCTGCACAGCTGCGTGATCTCAATTATATTGCAATAAAAATAGATGCATTTCAGGATGCGCGCGCTCAATGCTTCTTTCTTTGAAAAATATTTTAAATAGCAATGTGGGGAACCGTCTCATTCTTTCATTCCAGTTCTCACCATGATAAAGGATCGTTGTTCAGGGCCAAATGCTAAAGAGAGACATGCTGAGCACTTGGCCAAGTCACTGTTGGTTTTTGTTTGTGTCTGTTACCATAGCGACTGCTGTCCTCTGACCCGCCAGCAGCCGCTCTGTGTTGGATGGTGGGAAGGAGTCGAAGGGGTGTAGGCACACAACACAAGTCAAACAGTCACAGACTGGAAGTGGCACTCCCTTTTGAAGCCAGTCACCTCGAAATGCATGTGGGATTCAGCATGTGTTGATTCTGGTATGTTTCCATATAAGGGTATTCTAAAAAATTCAATAGTTACCGATTAACCCTTCGGGCAAATCGTTTCCTCGGAAGTGGCTGTACTCTGAGTCATTACTCTAAATCAACTCTGCTTGCATGAATCGGTTTCATGTTTCTGGAACTGTGTCAGTGATAATTAGTTTTTCAATATAAAGCTCAACATCTGTTGGTTTCACCTCCTCTCAAAGTGGAAAATGCTCTGTTAAAGAGCCATCTTGTATGGTGGGGCAATATTAACACTCGCCAAGTGCCAAATAAAATAATAATAAATCGTCAGTTTGCCGGTGGCCTGAAGCTTTTCTTCTCCGCGTGAAATATTTATCACATTAAGCTTCTTAAATGAAAGCAGAAGTAACAACATCATGATGTATCATCTCATGTATGATGTTATTAGTGACACATTTTGTCACAAATGTGTAGGAAACTATCATTAGCTTTTGTAACCACGTCAATTGGAATGAATTGGCCAAATCTTGTAAGATGTGAATTTAAACATTTTTTAATCAGTTCGATTGGAAATGTAAACGGAAACGGAATGTTTTGCATATCTGCAACGATATAAAAATGGCGTAATGAGTCACGGAACGAGTTGTTGTTGAACGCATATATATGCTTTGTCCGAAATCGCATACATCCCTATAATAACGTAGGCAAAAAAAGAGTATGTGACAAAAGTAGTATGTCCGAATTAACAGTAGCTACTCATAAAAGAGCAGGCAAAAAGTACCTGGCTTTCATTTAATTTTCATTCATTAATTTTATTTATAAAGGACACTGACCAATGTGCTGTACAGTCTCACACTAAAATGACATAAATAAAATGTACTTTCAGACAAAACAATGACAACATTTGTTAAGAGCCTCTTGCTAACCTACTGAACCAAACACTAATTCTAGCAAATGTAATTTCAGGTTTCATTTAAAATAACGAATAGCGCTTATTAGCGACAGCAAATGCCCGACATCTCTCAATTTCAATCTAGTCCTTGGAATGTCTATAACAGAGGAATGTCTTTCTATAACAGAGTACCTGGATAACCTACTACTTTCCGGCAAGATTCTGAAGTGCGCACTCTAAACAAATGTAAATTCAAATTTTAACCCAACTTTCAACTTTACATTTTCTATTGCATTTTTAACACCAACATTTGCGTTTATCCATATTTTACCCAAATTTGGATTCAAACAACCCAGCATTTTTTAGAGTGTGCATACGATGGACTCTCATTCCAGAGACGCCCTGTTTTGGGTGCAGGAAGGGGTATTTTTACTGCATGATTAATATAAGCAGCATTGCATAAGCATTTGTGCTTGATGTCTACTGATTAGGACCCAAAATAGGTCGATATTAAGTCAAAGAAAAAAAAAAGAAGCAGTGGTAGGGGAATGGTAAGTACTGTTCAGTAGGTGCCTACCGTGGGAAACTGTATATTTGTGCAGTGTCTGTGAGTCAATCAATTCTGATTTAAAGCTGCAATACCTAAGATTTAGATGCCGCTAGAGGGCGCTACATTCAAAACAACAACAATGGCTTTGCTTGATGACGACGTGGAGAAACGCGGAATGATGGGAACTGTTGTTTTCAACTCCACCGTGGATAAATCAGTCAGACGGGAATCGAAAATTAGTTGTCATGGATGAGGTAAAGTTCGATTTCTATAAACGTTGCGTTTAATGACATGCTTGTTTTTCATTAAACTGAAAAGTCAGGTTTAAAAGTAAATTAGTTATCACAGATGTTACTGTACGAGTCACTGGACGAAGCTATGGTGGAGAGGGTTTGAAGGGGCAGGTCTCTTGCAAGGATTTGACGTGGCTGGTCCTCCTTGGTAACTTTATAAAAATAAAAAATCAATTTAATGTACATTTGACACATCTTTTCATGTCGTGTAAGTATTCAACCACAGCTACAGTTTCACAAAATTAACGTTAAGGGGGTCGCACACCGGACGAGAAGCTGCAGCGCCGCGTCGCACCACATAATTATTCGAACACATTATTATCTATAAGTGTACATACCGGCGGCGCCATTCGGCGTCTGTCCGCGGTGCCCAGCAACGCCTCAATCAGGACCGTGTTCAAAATCCTGCTGCGCCACAGAGCGCCATTTACACAGTTTTATATAAAATTTTAATTATTTTTGTCTCAAACCGTTGCTAATGGATCCTGACTTTGCCCTATGCTGCAATATGCATTTAGTTTTGCAGTGATTTACAGAAATTAGCTGCTTGAATGACAATTGCTGATGTTATTATTAGATTTTTCAGGTGAGATTCGTGAACGGATGATCTGAGGTAAAGTTTTCAGAATGCAGACTCAGCAACGATTGTATTTAATTGTACAGTACAATCATAGCATAGAACAGACATAGAACAGACATTATCTTCCTTTTCTGTCATTAAACATAACAATATTCCTGGCCATACACTGATGAGAAAGTGCGCGTCCGGTGTGCGATGCTGTGGAGTTGTCCTAAACGTGACGCGGCGCTTCTCGTCCGGTGTGCGACCCCCTTTACAGCCAACCGTTCACATTCCGAGAATAAATGAAAAGAACAATTGTGCTCCATTCCATAACAAATGTGCGAAACAAGCTGTCGTTTGTTAGACGCGAAACAAGCTGTCGTTTGATAGACGCTAACACACAACTACCGCATTTGTCCAGGACTACACGTAGTACGAGCGGAAACCGAGGTAAGCGGATATGACGCGATTGACTCGCGACTCCCAGCTCACCCCTGCTCACACGTCCCGTTTCCTTGGTTAAAATCTCAATTTTCTCGCGATTTAAATATTGTTTGAAACATATGGAATATTGTGAGTTATCATCTTTACTAAATGTATAACACTGGCCTTGTGATTTTGGGATATTTTAATGCAAAAATCTTAGGTATTGGACCTTTAAAGCTTGTGACATATAAATGCACACATCAACCCGACTTTATTTAGCATTCATGTAAACTTTATGTTCAGATTCGTCAATCAGAATGATTTCAAACTAAGTGTCCATGTAAAGATAGCTATTGTCAAACGGATAATAAAAAAACAATGCAAAATTTTGTTTCATGGATGAATCATTTTTCATTTCATTTCAGGAAAAAAATTTGAGGGACAAGAAGAGGTTTAAAACATACATTTAATGTATAATGTTCAGTTTAATTATAAACGGGTCTATGACTAGTACCCCCACTAAAACATCATTGTGTGCTGCTCTAGCAGACAACCTTTTAAAAAAAAACAACCTGATTACACAAATTAGTACTTTCTAAAAAATGGCATGGCTTGGTCATTTTGTCTTTGGTTTAACAATATGTGGATAAAAATAGTGGCAAAAAACTAAAAACAAGCTTATGGAGTGAGAAAAGCCTGTAAATGAAAAAGAAGAGTACAGTTAGAACATGTCACATTACCTACTTTAAGTATAGGTTTAATGTATTATTTTTTATTTTGTAAACTCACCTGTGCAATTGCCTATTTGAATGTGTGGCTTTCAGTGCCACCACGTCCAAAACCTGAGGGCAAAAAGAGAATTAAAATTAAACATTCATTTGAGGACATTGAGAATTAAACATACAAAAAACTCTCTGGATAAGTGTAAGGGATACATTTGCATTAAGTGCCACTGGATAATGCAAGAAATTTGAATAAATTCATGAGATGAGAGATTGTATAGCGGTCATGTACTGTCCAGTCCATGTGCTTATGAGGTGAAGCAGTAGTCTGTGTCATCATCATGTGATACTCTAGTTTAACAGTAACAGTACAGTAAAATGATGCATTGTTGTAACGTACCTTTAGGTCCAAAGAGTGCAGCGTAGCATGGGTTGTTACAATAGGGCTTCCCCTCATGCTGTGAGTTGAAACACATTAGTCAGTATACGGACTTGAATTATGCAAGACATAATACTCTGACAGCCCAACCCCCTGAAGTGTTTATGCAAGGTAAAAGTATGCCAAAAGTTAACTTGACTCCATTTTCACATTAATCTGTCCCAGTAAGACGTTGGCAGTGCGTGTGTGTAATTCTGCTACTGACTTACCTCTGCATGTGAGCCAGCCGACAGGGTCTTGTTGCATTTCTCACACTTCAGACACGGTCTATGCCAGTCTTTGCCAAGCGATGACACTCTCTCCGCTGAAACATTAATGATAAACATCATTGATTTATAAAACCAAATAAAAATAGGCCAACATGGATTGATTTCTGCAGAATTGCACTGCACATTTTTTACAAAATTTCCCAGCCAAATTTTTATTCATTTTGTAGATTCTTTTAACCAACCAAAGTGACTTACATTGCATTTCGAGGTAGGCTATATTTTGTATCAATTCCCAGGGAATTAAATATTTGGCTTTAAAGGTACCAACCCCTTCCCCCTCCAGTGAAGCCAGTTCGTCAAAATATGTAAATTTTTTAATAAATATTTAAAGGGATAGTTCACCCAAAAATGAAAATTCCATTTTTCACTTTTGTTGTTTAAAACCTATGTGACTTTCTTCCATTGAACGCAAACAATATTTTTAACAACGTCATTTTCTGACTTGTGAAAGTATAATTAATGATTAGTGAAAGTAAATGTAGTTCAGTGCTGTTTTGGACCCCATTGACTTCCATTGTATAGACAAAAAAAGATCCTCTATGTTCTGAAGAAAAAAGAAAGTCAAACAGTTTTTGGTATGATATATCTCTTTAAATATTTAATAAATAATTATTTTTGGTTAAGGATTGGAATCATCGGTGAAAATAGGAGATTTATTTAACACGGTTTAAATCCATTTATCTAAAGTGCAAAGATTTCCTTTAAAAAGTCAATGCAGAAAATGTTTAAAAGAAATGTTTGTTTCCATCTGGGCCAGTTTATGACCTCATCGACAACTTGGAAGAATCTAAATGATCACTCATTAGCCGTAAAGTTGTTTTAACAAAAGAGTCAGGGGAATACATAGTCAATCAGACATGAGTTAAAAATGAGCTAATTTGGAGCCATTATGTAGTTCAATTAAAGTCATGACGAGCTTTTAATGTCAACAAAGCTCAATCTGAAGTCCAGCGCGCTACAAGTCTTGTCAGATTATTGTGTTCTCGGCTCAAAGCAGATAAAGTCATGACGGCGAGAACATGGGTGGGTGTGGACGCTCGCTGTATGCAGGACACTCCCAGAGGAATTCATTCCTCCCTTTCCCTTTAAAAGGCCCATAAAGAAGTCTTTATCTGCAGCCCTCAGCAGAAAGATTTCTCCAAACAACCCTCATGATGAACATCATAAAAGAAGTGGGAAGGGAAGACAAAGTCATGCATGCTCAGGCCTCTCCAGTTAGGGGAGGTGCTCGATCGTGCCTTTTACGAGGGAGGTTATGGGCAAGCATCTATATCGACTCCAAAGACTGTCTGAAAGCATGACCACTCTGAAAGATGTCAGATTTATGACTTCAAGTGAAGAGCTTTGTTTGAGCTTTTTGGCATGCAGAAACCAAAGGATGGACAAAGAGCAGATTAACTGTTCCCATCTGTGAAAAATGTGATGAGATGATAGCAAAGACCCCAAACACCAAGTAACGCTTCATACTTTATGTAGTAGGCTGAGTGTTGAAGGATAACACATAACACTACATAACTCCCATTGTTATGGACTACTGTCTGTGAGCAGCTATAATTGCACACAACAGCTGTAATAAGAGTCATTCTCATCCCAGCTCAGCTAGTCAGTCACACTACACGGTGGATGACACAGGAAGCCCTTTTGTTTAGTTCTGGACTGTGAACTCATGATCTAGACATACTGGGAGAGAATCAATGGTCCATGTGAGAAAGAGCATTTTTAAAGGACAAACAGGGCCGAAAGGAATTCACCAGGATGGGTTTGGGCCCTTGCAGCGCTGCCAAGAAATAGTTTGGTCATCTGAGCCACACCTAAGACAGTAATTACTTAACTTCCCTCAGTCAAATACACAGTGGACACACTAATCTCTCTCTCTGTTAACGTTCTATCAATGCAAAGTGTCCTAGAATGGGTGTAAAGTCTACAACATATAGAGATTTGTAATCTTCAGGTGAATTACTGACGTCTTGTTTTTCATAACATTATAAATGGAGAAACTGTTTCTCATGCAAAGAGGAATTGGGGAAAAAATATATTAGTAGTAATATTAATAAAAAATAATAATAATATACTTTTAGAAAATATTTCTATTTCTCAGGTTAAACATTTCAGAGTAGCTAAAATGTGATTTTTTTCTATGTTTACATATTTCCACTCTAAACTATAAAAACTTTGCTCTGTTTGTTTAAGCTTCCTGACCAGCCAGATGGAGCAACAGTGATTAATACCAATTGTTTGATTTTTGGGGCGGGACTATGTGTTTGACTGACCAATTGGAGACGTTTGAGGGGAGTCTTTTGGAAACCTGTTTCAAAACTGTCATTATTTTTACAAATCTGTTTGATGTTGATAAAATAATGGCACACTGTACCTATAAACTTGCATGTATTGTGATTAAAACAAATCTGTGAAAGCGAACCACAAAAATTAGACTGTCTAAATCAGTGCCTGAATTATGCCATAATTGTTCAATATACACTCTAAAAAATTACTGGGTTGTTTTAACCCAACTTTGGGTCAAATACGGACAAACCCAAACGTTGGGTTATAAATGTAATAAAAAAAGTAACCCAATGGCTTATTTTTAGACTGAGTGTATATAAACTGAAATTACACTTCAGAACACCCACTTTATATTCGCAGTTTGGAAAAGCTGGAAAATTATGTTATTTTGATTATACCAGTATCTAATCTTATATCTTCACAGTGGATTTTCTCTTTCCATCTCTGAGAGGCTGCAGTTGTTAGATTGCTTCCATACGAATATTAAATAAGTCCGAGTGAAGAAAGACCAGCACCAGCTGGCAGTTTTGTGTGATGGAAAAGTTACAGGTTCAGAGAACACTAGCGTTGAACAAGATGGATGGTGTGAGATGCAGCAGTATTGAGGAATTTATCTTACATCAGAGAAAATGTAAAATTTCAACTTTTAATTAAATGCTGGCTTTGACATTTTTTTTAGAGAAGGATTTTGTGTTTCAAAGTGAAGGAAAACGTTGTGAACTGCACTGCTGGATGATGGAAACCTACCACAAACAGCCTGGCATGTTCATATTGTCTACAAATGTTCGGTAAATAGCAAAGAAAAGTTGAATGGTCTGGACAAAACCCAAGCCCAGACTTGCGGTATGAGAGAGTCTCAGTGGAGAAGCTTGGCATGCTCAGAAACTTATAAATATTCACAAATTCATTTTCAATACATACATTTACCATATTATTTCCCTGTAATTATTTGTTACAGATACATATCTGATTCCTGGATGAATCTGAGTCAAATAATAGCCTAAAGTTCTTTAAACCATTGTTTTGTTGCCTTAGAAGCTATTCAAATAGTTTGTTTGAATACACAATGCAAAAAGGTTACTTTACAATGTAAAGCCGAATTTGACGTTGTCATTTGCATAGCCTCGACTGTGCTTACCCCTATCTGGTATGCATGTTATTATTGTAAATATAAATAATGTAAATTACACATTCAAAGCATGCTATATTTTCTGTTTTTCAAAACCACCTCACAACAACATACTGTACAACCCAACACTGTACAACTCTACTACATTTACATTCAAAGTTTTTTTTCTATACTTTATTCTTCATGACTGTTTTATTGCTGCAAACATATCTGCACAAGTTATTTGGTAAAGGGTGTTTTGCAAAAGTTTCAAGCAGGAAATAGTGTCCACATGCATCAGTTGACATCTCTCTTCCTGATTAATCCCTCGTGCTGTTGCATTCAAACTAGTTTGCACATTCATTTAAACATCGAAATATTTATAATAAATTATACAACAAAGTAGTGTACTTTGACCTTGTTTTCATACTTTTTCTTAGAGTAAAAGAGTAGACTGTATATATATAAATATGAATATTTCACAGGAGTCTTACCGAAGTACACTTCCTTATCGCACTTTGGGCATTTAGGCATGTTTGCGGTGATTTAGTTCCTCGGAGGAGAAAAGTCCAGCTAGAATAGAGTTGAGATGGAGTCCACCTGCACACTGCCACGCCTTTGGTGTGAGACTATCTACTCTGCAGCCTTATTTATAGTACTGTGGAAATAGTTTGCACACGGTCACGGAGAGAGCGAGAGAGACAGGGAGCGGGAGCGCGCGTGTGTGCGTGCGTAAGAACGCGCCTTGATTCATCTAGTCTAGATATAGGCTAGCTACCCTTTTTACTCTGTTCATTCTGTAGGCTGTTTATTTGACTTTCAATTAGTTTTTAGGGAGAATACAAACAACGGAGATTCATTGCGTGTGTGAATAACCTCAGGTGTGTGAGTTCTGTGCGTGTTTGAAATGAAGATGGAAATGTGACACAGAGTAGAAATATGATCCTGTTAGATACAACCCTTCATTACATTCAGAGCGAATCTTTTTCAGAAGAGACCATCCGTGCTGAACGACGCATTCATAATCAAACAGCCAAATGTTGAACATGTCATCAGTAAAGTCCCAGACATGCTGGGCATCATCACTATTTTGTGTTTTTAAAATAGTTTGTAGTTTGTTTGCCGGAGACAAAAGCACATTTACTTGGATATTTTCTCATTCATTCACTATTATGAATCTGGTGCATTAAATAGATCTGTGTCTGTAAGTAGCTATTTTATGAATGCCTATATGCGTGTTAACATATACAGGAGTAACATCAGTATTTGATAGATCAAATATTTCCTGAGAGGATATAGGTGTGTCTCTGCCCAACCCTTGGATTGATAAAATACACCATGGCAACTGCTCAACATGTTTTGAATGGCAGTGAAATACATCATTGATGTACAAAATTGAGTGTCATTGATCCTATCAATGACATTGATACATCATTTATATATCAATGTCACTGATACATGACACACACACACACACACACACACACACACACACACACACACACACACAGATAGAGATATTGATGCCATTGTATAGCTGTTTAACCAGATGAAATGACATGACGCATTGTGTCTGGATCTATTAATTTATTCAAAAATATTTTTAAAATGTATTTCATAACTTCGATACACCTGTATGGTCAACACGTTTCTGAATAAAAAAACACCTCTATGTCTCCTCATAAAGTAAAAAAATCCTGATTTAATAATGAACTGATAAATTTATAGGTATTTTCAGAAAATAAAACTAATGAAGCAGTTTTTTATATATATGAATAATATTTTAAAGAAATCTGTTTAGGTTGTGCCTAAACAACATGAAGAAAGCCATAAAACTGATATGCTATCAGTCACACTCATCTGTAACTTTGTCAAGATCAATACGCTTTGGTATAATTATTTATGAATTAAAAAGTCATGATTTATTTTTATTTTATTTTTATTTTTTTCAAATGTGTGCACTCACATTTTAAATATCCCCAAACTTTAATTTAAACTTAACGTCGACATGAAATTAGGATTGGGCAACGATTAATCGCATCCAAAATAAAAGTTTGTGTTTACATAATATATGTGTGCGTAGTGTTTATAATTATTTTGTATATATTTAGGACAAAATGTGTTCTTAATATATCAAATATTTATATTTATACATAATATTAATTATGTCTAAATATATAAGAAGTATATACCAGCAAATATTCCTTACACATGCATGTAAATATAAATATACAAAATAATTATACACATTACACACGCATGTATTATGTAAACACAAACTTATATCTAAGTGAAACGACTAAATAAATCAATTATAATAAGCACTGCAATATTCAATAAAAAACAAAAGAAGAATTGTCTATATTGCTTTTGTGGTGACTTTAACATGACAAAGTGGTCATAGACTGTTGAACACCTCTGTAATATATTGCATGTTTGTGCACTGAATAGGAATATACTGAATATGTATGCTGAATCTGAATGATTCTTGAACCACATATAGCATGCAACCCTCTCTCTGTCTCTTCTTCTTCATCTGTGTTTGATCTATCTTGACAGCTCTTAGCTTATCCATCAGCAAGCTCCCAACTATCGTGCCACCCATGTTTACCCAGTCATGCCTGGCCACTGTTTCGTCTCAGCAGGCTCCAACAGCCAGCAAACAACCCACCCGCCGTTTCATCTCTAGCAGGCCTGCGTAACTGCAGTCCTGTTCACTGGGCTTTCCCAGTGTTACACTGTGAGGTTCACCATCAAGGATTTTCCACTGATCTTCATTTCCTCCCTCTGTTGACAGTAGATCCAGCAATCCATGCTGAGTGGGAAATTTTCCTGCCAGTCTCTTCCAGCTCTATTATCACTGTCTGCTTACCATCACCAAAAGCGTTATCTGATCTGGACACCCTCATTGCTCGCTTCCCCCAACTGTTTATTTTTAAAGGATGCATAAGGATTACGCTTCAAAGTATGTAGATTGAATCATCGTGGACTCACCTTGTGACTGTCACATAAAAACAGACATGCGTTAGAACAGCGCTACTCATGAAAGAAAGTCTTTATTGTTATCGTTCACACCTTAATCAGAACAGCGCCATGACAGGAATGAAAGCAAGGTATGTTTTCAATGGCATTCGCTGTAAAAAGCTAAATAAAGCTCCCTGATTACTTACAATTTTCCACAGATCATGTGTCTGGAGTTTTTGGTCTATTAAAACTTCTTGGAAAGATATTTTTGCAATGTTCAGTGAGCAGAACAATCCAAAAACATTAACAGTACAACCCACTGAAAAGATGTCTATCCCTCACAGCCTCGCTTTCATTACCATTAAAAATCAAAAATGGTGCTGCTGTGAATAAGGTGAATAGCCTTTTAAAAAAAAGATGGACAGTGTGTCTCCGCCTTCTTTTCACTGTAATATCCCAGTAACTTGCCGATTGTCGCTCAGCTGTGAATCATGGCGTTACACCCTGTTTTTTTAGCATCAAACATCAATTAATTCAATAAACCAAACCTATTAGAAAAACCAACATATAGAATTATGATATATACTGCAGCCAGCCACCAGGGGGCGATCAAAAGGCTTTGGCTTAGGTCTTGTGCGGCACACTTGGTTTACACCAAGAACGATAACTATATTAGCATCCACACCAACGCACAATAACGTTCTGTTTATTCTAAGCGTGCGTTAGTTACGTCATCTGCCGCTTTAAATGCTCTCTCGTGCTCATCAATTAAAGCAGGATGGATTCTCATTGGCTGTCAATGTTTTATTTTTCATCAGCTAGAATTTTTTTTTTTTTTGTGCAATCAACTAAGTCTGTCCAACATGTGATGGTGGATTGTTATCTATATGAAAAGGAAAGAAATGGCGCTTTTCCATTACCAGCTCGACTCGGCTCGGACTTTTCTCTCCGTTTTCCATTGCAGACAGTATCACCACAAATTTTACCCAGTCGTCATAGCGACGCCTTTCGTTCCTCGTTGCCCTATCAATCTCTCACAGGATCCTCTCTTCGGCCACCAAACAAAGGAAAGTCTGCACCTCCTCGTTTGACCACGGCGTGGTTGCCATAATAATAGTAGATAGTTTAGTAACTATCTCTGGCCAAACTATTTAAAAATAGCGGGGTTATTCTGGATACTCCATCTGGCGCGTGTAATGATGGCGCAATGAATGGTGACGATTCTTTCTGACCAATCAGCAGTTGGCATTGTTTTCACGTGACATTTTAGTATCGCCTTATCGGTACAAAAAAAAGTACCCGCAAGCAGGAACAGGTACAGTCGAGTCGAGTTGAGCTGGTACTGTGTATTGGAAAAGTGCCAAAAGTAATTCGAAGTAATTGGTAAATTGAAACTAAACTTCACTTTAAAAAAACACACTTGTAGCAGCATTTAGGAAAATATATGCACTGTTAATTACATTTTTTAAAGAAAGAGGCCTAAAAGTATAAAAGTAAAAAAAAAAATATATATATATATATATATATATATTAAATATTATTATTCCCCTTCCACACTCCGGTCCAGTAGGTGGCGGTAAAGTACCTATAAGCTGGTTTGCCAACCGCCAAAAAAAAACCCTGAAGAAATAATTTTAAATGAAAGTGATTCCAACTGTATCATTCATCTGTGTCGTTATAGTTGTGGTGTGTAGACTGCTATTCTTTTAAATTTAGAATGATTGTTTGCACTTTAAATATATCTGTATCGTTATCATTATAGTATTGTACTTGAACAGGCCTTAACTCTGGACCTGGAAAAGCTACATTATATTGAAAAGTGCTGACCTCCAGCCACGCTACTGAAAATACAGTAAGATAATAGAGTTGCTTATTCCAGTCAGTTACTCCGCAACGCTGCATCGGTCAATGTTCAAAACATTCCCACTGTACGTCTCTGAGGGACCGCTATTGTAATCCGTCTGGCAGACAATATTCAGCATTAGCAAATTGCTGTGGTTCACAGATCATTACTCTAAAATGCTTCTCTTAGAAATAACTTGATTTCCTGGTGTTATTCTCTACAAAACAAAATCATATTTGTGGCATAATCGCAGATCGTTTTGTAGCGTAGTGGGCTATTTTTGGCAGCCCAATGCCAGTTCGATAGATCAGGGTGCATAAAAGAGAGAGAGAGAAAGAGAGAGAGAGAGAGAGAGAGAGAGAGAGAGAGAGAGAGGGAGTGCAATGAAAACAAACACATACATATGTGATTAGGCAATCAGGATCTGTGGAATAACAGTTTTCAGGACTGAACTCATCACTGCTGAACACAAACAAGGGAGGGCTGGGATTCAAGCAATGTGTTCTTTTTGTTAAATGAGAACAGACAAAAGGTATAGCTTGTCAATGACTCAAAGACGAGGAGGACACACACACAGAGAGAGAGAGACAGTCTACAGACCTTGAGGGTGATTTTTTCACTACACTTTACTGTTGCATCACAACCTAGCAGTGATGATGTCAATATGGGTGGGTGGAGATGTTGCCATAGTAACTCTGTTATGGGTGAGTTTGTAACCTTGATTGACAGCTGAACGATTTTTATGTCTCTCTCAACACACGTGATGTTAAAAAAAAAGATAAAATCACTGACATGTTATTTATCCACTGCACATTAACAACGTCATCATTCTATTCATCTCAGGCTTACTGTACTTGCAGCAACACCTTCTCATGTACTATTATCTCATCAGATACATGGCAATACAG